AAGTTGGTGATGTTTAACAAAATAAATCATTTTTTCACTTTTTAACTTATAAGTGGGTGATTTATTTGAAACCAAACAGGCCTTACGTATATGGCCTTCCACGGCCTCAAGTGAAGCCTAATAAAAATCGGGTCCCACCACGAAAAACGGGACCACTCTTCGTCAGTTGCAGTGCGCATCCAGACTGGGCATCGCTTCATGGCCCACCAATGCTCGCGATGGGACTCCCGCACAGTGTCACAAAATGCGTATTTTACTAACCGGGCACCGACAACTGTCGTTGCAGCGCTCCACGAATTCTCGGCATAGCTAGGAAATTAGCATCGTCAGCCACAGTGTGCGGAGCGACGCCAGCCACAGATTTGCTTATGGACAAAATAGACAAAGGGCTTGTTTGTTTTAGCTTTTTCTTGCTGCCAACTTAGAACCCAAAACTTGAAACGAAACAACTTCATTTTTTGTGTTGGCTTTTAAAAAACTAAAAACCGGCTTATTGTGAAATGAATTAAAAGCTGCAAGTAGGTTAGAAGTAGCTTTACTGGTTTTTTGTGCCGAGAAGCTAAAAATTTATTACAAAATCCAATAGCAACAAGCCAAAATCCAGAAAGCCAGAGCTGTAGCCGAAACAAGGGCATGTTTGTCTTAGCTCCAGTAGCTCTAAATTCACGAAAAACATCTCCGGATTCACTTTTTCAAGCCAAACACTTCTAAATCCACGTAGATCCATCATTTAGCGGCTCCACAAAAATTCCATAAATCTACCCCAGATCCATGGATTTGATGGAGCACCTCAAGGGGTGCTCTAAAACCACCAAATTCATGGAATTGGGGAAGATTACCCACCATGGCACTGATTACGAAAAGGTATATTCTTTCATTCTCCTCCTGTTTTCCTATCTCAACCACATTCATGTTGTGCGCGCTTGCATCCTCGGCTTTCACCTTGTCGCCACTCCTCCCGCTAACTGTGGCCATCTCCACTAGTCCCAGCCCCGTCACCACCAGTGCATGGCGGGTGGCGCCGGCATGATCCACCACGAGCTCGTCACGCCCATGGCTTGCCGCCAGCCACATCGGCCGCAAGACGCGCTCATGGCCAGTGAGCTCGATCATCGTCCCGCCATTGGCCGTGAGCTCCAATGTGCTATGCTCTGAAATAGGAAGGGGAGGAAAGAGAGGATGAAGAGCTGACGCGTGGCCCGGGTGATAGTGAGATAGAGGGAGATAGCTCAGAACTGGAGCTATACCAAACAAGTGGGATGAAATCTAGATCCATGATAGAGCTGCTCCATAGTGGATCTAGATCTGTTTTTTTAAGTTACAGCCCTCCCAAACAGACCCTAAAACTAAGCCAAACGGTATCTTACCTTTAAGGCTTGTTTAATGCACTCAAAAACATCTCAATCCATATGAGTTCAGTTTGATGGGATAAAAAGTTAACTATTTTTTTATCTTAATTTAGATACGAGTGCAGCCAAACAGACCAGGACAGCGGTGGATGCAGCCAAATAACAAACACTTGGATGCAATGATTCTCACCACCACAGAAACCTGTTCGGCCCCTTGCGTAACTGATAGTCATAAATTAAGTTATCATTTAAGTTTTATTCTACTTTTATTAGGATAGGATAGAACATACAAGGAGTTTTTAAATATATGGACATATTTTACTAATCTATTCATACGGCTAAAATAACTGTAGCCTTAAGAATTTACTAACTATTCCCTGAAACCTAAAATAAATGCACATTTTATACTTTGAAGAGTTAATTAATTCACTTCTCCTATATTTCAGGTGCATGAATTTTAAGACGATCTCAGGCAACACTCTTGTACCACCAAATAGTACAAGTAAAATTATTACTTTTGTAATTTGTTATTTGTCTTTGTGTTATAACATATTAAATTTTATCTTTGTCTGCTTATAGAAATAATTATAAATTGTGAATTGTGTTTGGACAAACACAAATATATTTTATCGGATTTATGGTTTTGTCTAACGGGTTTTTTTATTCTCGGTACAAAAAATTACAGATTGCGCTTACATAAATTGCAATGAACGAAATCTGCAACTTTAATATAAAATATATGCAATAACCATCGCATTAAAGAAAACTAAAATTCAGGCACCTGAATTTTAGCAAATCCCTAATTAATTTTAAGTTTAGCGAAATATATATAAAAGTGTACTAATATGTAATAAATATATATTATTAGATTAATTATAACATATATTTTTAAAGTAAATATATTTAAAGATACAAGTGCCTTGATTCTTTTTTTTTTAAATTTAGTTAAATTTAAGACTAATTCACTACTCAAAGTGTGTGAGATATGTATTTATTTTAAGACGGGAAGTGCTCGTACGGGAGGAGAGCTGGATGGCACATAGGAGTGCCAACTAATCACTCGATGCCTTCACTAACCGACCACTAGTCATTGTCCGTTGACCAAGTGCGCAAGTCTCCTACTCTACTCTCCCCTCCCTTCAGGCCTTCAGGTCTTGTGTGTTGCGCTGCGAGCGGCTCCTGGTTTCCCTTCCAGCAGGTTAGTGCTTCTGGAAGATCCACCTCTTTTTTGAACCATTTCGGAATGCTTAATACTCCTGTTTTTACACTTTGCGCATGTCCTTCTGAATCCCTAGTTAGCACTGATTTCTGCGATTATCCACTGCTAACGCATTAGATCTACAGCATAGATGAAATAGAGATTTTGTGTCAAGTGGAAACGCAAACAAGCAGCCTGTTTCGAGATTGCAGATTTAAATCTTCTATTAATCGTGTGCGGCTGCATTACTACTAGTATCCGAAAAAGCGGGTATGAGTTTAATTTATTGGAAGTCTGGAAATAGTTCTATGTTTCCAAGGGAATCGCTGCCCGTAAAGGAGACTAGGCAAGGTTATTTTTTTCCCCTAAACTTAACTAAAATCGAATTTATTTTCTGGAATACAATTGTTATAGAAATTGGTGACATTGCAGTTCAGTTTTACCCTCTGACTGTCAAATGCGTCAAGATCCACTTATTTGCAACAAAACTGTTCACTCTAAGCTCCAGTAATGGGGCAGCCTTTCGACAACCACTGCTCTCTCTGTGTTTGGAATTATTGTTTGATGTTTTCTTATTTGATTGGTTAAATTTCTTAGTTTCACCCACGAATATGTACATTGCATTTCTTTCTGGTGAAATGGAAGAGGCATTTGGTTAACATGTTACAGTTCATGGTAAAAGTTGCTTATTAGGGGCTTCTTTTTTATCTTTGAAGTCCTATATTCTTCAGCAGAGAGTTCAATTTATTGTTTGCCAGGAAGAAAAATTGCAGTCGTCCTCTTCAGCAATATTTTGCAACTTATATAAATGAGTGACCAACAAGCAAGTGAAGTTGAAGACCTGGAGCGCATATTTGCTGATGCGAGCAAGGACCCCATCCAGATATCATATGGAGTAATTAAGTCCATCACAAAAAATTTCGCTCAAGTGATTGGTAATGGTGCATTCGGTGTTGTTTACCTGGTATGCTATTGGTCTTGATTGCCTTGCCAGTTGTAATCTGTCATACTGTGCAGAGTAAAATGTTCAGATCAGTGCTTACAAGTTACATGCTCTGTGTTAAACAGGGAGCTCTTAAAAATGGGTTGGTTGCTGTGAAGAAGCTTTCCCAGTCTACGAATGATCTTTCTGACACACAATTTTTGGACGAGGTTAAATGTCTAAAGAGGGTAAAGCACCAAAATATTGTAAGATTTCTGGGGTATTGTGTAGAATCGCATGGGGAAGTGATAGAAATAGATGGAAAACAAGTGATTGCTGAGGTAAAACAAAGGTTACTCTGCTTTGAGTATGTACCGAATGGAAGCCTTCACGATTATCTTCAAGGTATAAAGGTTGCTGCACTGCATTGTTCCTCCTTATTTGTGCTAATGAACCCCACGAAATCAGCTATTCCTTCACCTGTCCATGTTAGACATGGCTAACTTTCAAAGTTTATAATCATTAAAATATGTCCAGCTACTCCAATGAATTAGTTTGAGCCCTTTGAATAGTTTCTGTATATTTAAGCATTTATGGAAATCATTTAATATACAGGGGATGATATGTATGTGAATATAACTTTCATGATGCGATGTGCATAGCATGTGTACAGTGTGGATTATCTTAGAAATGTCACCGAATACTACATAAAGTAGAAACTAACTGAATTATTTATCTGGAGTATTTGTCATCCAAAAATAATGAATGTGGAGCTTCAGTAACAGTGAGATTCTATATTCAGATTTCACAATGAACACTGAAAACATTAACCATTTTGTGCCCCAGGCTTCACTTCTACAGAGAAAACTTATGGATTTGAATGGAATATTCGCTATCAAATAATTAAGGGAATTTGTGCGGTTTGCATTATCTTCATCAAGCACGTATTTATCATTTGGATCTCAAACCTGGAAATGTGCTGCTGGGTACTCACATGGAGCCAAAATTACAGATTTTGGTGTGTCAAGGTGCATTGATGAAAATCAATCTCACGATGTGTACAGTCAATCTTTATGGAACACCGTAAGCTCATTCTCTTGGACCTCATTTCTTTTATTGAACTGAAACTGTGAATTATGTCGTGATGCTTCAAACCATATTATTTCCTGCAGGGATATATTGCACCAGAATTAATTGATAAAAATACAATATCATTCAAGTCAGACATATTCAGTTTGGGCATTATCATGGCCAAATTATTGACAGGGAGTAACGGGAGTATTACTGAAAAACGTAAGAATAATTTATCTAACCTTTCTAGTTACATTTTCGAAATAGAATATTCAGATTGTTACTTTTGTTATATAAAATAAGTGCAAGTCAAGCTTTGAAGGCCTGAATATTACCACATGGAAAGTTACAGCCAGTTTTCACCGTTGCAAACAGAATTGGCTGGAAGTCAAGCTTTGAAGGCCTGAATTTTATAAAAATGCCAATCTAACATAAGTTAAACTATCTTGCAAAATGTCATGGAAACATTCATCTCCATTCTCCAAAAATGTACATATAAGCGTACAAAAGATTATCTTGTGTGTATATTTGTACATTAACTAGCCATCGGGCCCAATCCATACCGCTTCTCTTCATGAGATATCCTGCCAACCCCTTATCTTATCACTAGAACATTTGGCGCATGTATTGAAATATTAGATCGATCATTTGATAATTGGATCGATTATTCATTTATCATGTGCATTTTTAGGGTTTATAATCCTCCCATCACCATATCATTCGGTGGGTGAAACTCAACCAGATTTTTAACTTTTAATCCTTTCTGATGTTTACTCTAGTGAAATGTACAATGCTAGCAACCTCTGTCACCACAATGTCCCATGCATGCATTATATTTTCACATCTCTTCCTCAATTATTAGCAATCTAATGCTTCTATCTTCTTAGGGACTTCGTCATTTTCTCGTCAATCTTCATCCCATCTTTGGTGGGTTATGTTGCATATGTATGGTTTATCTAGATCTGGTGGACATAGAGCCAATCCTACAATGCTATCCTATCAAGCTACTGGCGGTTCGCGAAATCGGCTGTAAAGATGCAAAAACTACCACTAGTAAAAAACTTTTCTCTACCGTGCTAGGAAAATAATGGCACTTAATTGCATGAAAATGAAGTGGAAACATAGATCCCGTATGTAAAGAGACGATCATGGACTTGGCACGAAGATTTACCCATGGTATTGTTGGACATACTACCACCCTAGTCCATGTTGATGCTGTACCAAGAATACGCTTTTAATAACTAAGCCTCTCTGAGCCATGACCTTCAATGATCACTAACCCTAAACCCTAAACCCTAAAACCTTAAACCCTAAAACCATAAACCCTAAACCCTAACCTAGGAAGTTTGTACAGATTCTGTTAGGCTCCGAATCTTCGGTAACTCCATCTCCTAGCCCTGAAGGTTACATGGAGATGGACATCTAGGAGGTATGATATGTTACTTTGACTACAAGAACCACTTGTCAGGTCCCGAAGGTACATGCTAGGTCTCGAAGGTACGTGTCGAATCCCAAAGTTACGTCTCAAGTCTCGAAGGCAGCCGTCAGTTGTCTAGGTTCTTTGTGGTGGAACTTTCCAATGAGGTTCAGTCCTAGACTTGGCATAGATGCTTGCATTCAGTTGTAGGTGAACTTGCATTTCAATAGTGATGCGCTTGTGGATTTGTCAGCTTAGTTTCTTCGAGGTGTTTATAGTGGAAGGTATGTTTCATAAAAAAAGTTGTTTACTAAATGTGTATTTTAATCTTGAGAGGCCTATTAGCATCTTAAGACGTGTATTTTGTGTTACTTTGTGTTTTACTATTATACATTCTATCATAGTTACCCTTACTATATGTTTGAATTTTGCAGTGGCATGAAACATTAAATACAGACTGCCAACAAATGAAGAGATGCATTGAAGTAGCAAAAAATTGTGTCAAATATGAACCTATTGAGAGACCCACCATTGCTGACATAGTCCATAAGCTTAATGAGATAGAAACCACAATTCAAAAGGTTCCACAAGTTGTTAATGAGCCGAGAAATGACCCAAGCTCTTCATTACATCAGGTACGATGGTTCAAGGCAACAGTCAATGATTCTCTTCTTTTCATGCTGGATATACATCTTATTTTGTCCAGTCCATATTCCACCCTTGTTTTTGAGGCAATATATTTGGAGTTCGTAGTTGAAGTAAACTCACAATAAGATCATGCTACTCCCCCTGTTCCAAATTATAGGTCATTTTGACTTTTCTAGGTATCTAGGTGCAAAGCAAAAGTTATGTACCTAAAAAAACAAAAAACGACTTATAATTTGGAACATAGGGAGTAGGATGATTAGAGTAGGCGATTACAAAGAAGGCCTAGGAAAAAAAGCCTTTAAAATTCCGATAAATTTGGCATTATGCACCTTTTATAGCGTAACAATTTGTTATACTGAAAAACGATTCTAGTGCTCAGGTACTACCTCGGTTCCAAAATGGACTTCTGGCACTTAAATTTGGAACTAAAATATCAGGACTTCTAAGGACCAACCCCATAAGTTAATTAATTTCTCCCATCCAGGGGTGGTCCTGGCTGTCATTAAGCCAATCACAATTGATCTCAACCAGGATTTACCCAACAGTCGTGAGTCGTCCAACAACTAAGCTTATTAGGAGTGGCCCTGGCAATTTAAAGAAGGGCATAATGATAACCGTGGTGCTTAGTTCCCAGATTCGTTATATTTTGCAACGGAGTACTAAAGTTCACACACAATTACTGGACATGCAACCATACCAATGTTGGCTCTTTTTGGAAGTTATATACACTCCAACCTTTCAAAAAGTTATGGTGTTTTAGTCATTGATCTAGTCTACGGCAGGGAACTCACCATTATTTTGCATTTATGAAACTAGTTTATCAACCTGTGCTCCCACACGGATAAAACCTCATGAGGCATAATCATTATATATTCATGTTTAATACCTACAACTAATAAAAAAATACTTATATTTGTTTGCCCTTTTTGACTTTATTCTTTCTAACACAATATGCATACACATACTTCATAATATTTATTCAGTTGTAAAAATCTTTTCAATTATTGATATATATGTTTTTATCCATACAACAACAACAAAGCCTTTAAGTCCCAAACAAGTTGGGGTAGGCTAGAGTTGAAACCCAGCAGAAGCAATCAAGGTTCAGACACGTGAATAGCTGTTTTCCAAGCACTCCTATTCAAGTTCGAGGGTCTTTTGAGGGGCGGTTTGGCAATGCTCCTTAGAGCAGATTCTGCACGAGAATCACTTCTCTTCGGCCAAATAGCAAAATCACACTAATATTTTGGCGGGGAACTTGGAGCTCTACGCAACCAAGGTCTCTGATCATCCATACGGATTATACCATTCATAAAGTCAATTTTTTTCTTCTCACTTTAAACCATCTAGTCAACCCATTAATTTTATAAATTCGTGGTATTAGAGACATGCGTGGTTAATTTACGCAAAAATTAGGAGGTTATTTTAAATAATCTTTCATAATTATAGATGTGGGTAATTTATATGCAATGTTAGGGGGTATTCAAATTTTCTATAATAACGGCAAGGGTGGGCAATTTAGATGCAAAATTAGGGGTTTAATTTATGTATTTTTCGTGATGACAGAGGTGAGTAATTCTTTAGAAAACAAAATAGTTCAATGGCTATTATTGGCGATGATGACTGAATTTGACCAAATTAAAGTCCATATGTTTGTAATTATTATGGAACTTATAGGATTTATCTTTTTTTCCTAGCGCATTTTGCGAGGATTAACACGGAGGCTCCTTTGGAGCCTCTAATTATTAATAATTATGGAACTTATAGGATTTATCTTTTTTCCTAGCGTATTTTGTGAGGATTAACACGGAGGCTCCCTTGAAGCCTCTAATTATTAATAATAAGATACTAATGATAGTATTCTAGATCATAACTATAGTCTATGTTGTGGACTCGTTTGTGGGCCGGCAATACTGGTGCCGTCCCAAGCGTCCCACCAGCCCAAGCCGTGGCTAAGGCTGGGTTGTTAGGAAAGGAGGAATTAGAGGGAGGATTTTTAGGAGATCAGTTTGATTATTGTTGGCAAGTGCTCCTAATCTATAAGGGCGCACTTTAGGATTGTAATAAGTTATCGAAGCAGTGGAGGCCTGGCAGCGCCCGCGCTCTGCCCGGTCCTGAGTGGCTTCCTGGGGCTCACGGGCTACTACCGCAAGTTCATCGCCGGCTATGGCGGTGTGGCTGCCCCGCTGACTGCCCTCCTCAAGCGCGAGGCGTTCTCCTGGTCCGCCGAGGCGGAGACGGTCTTCCTCGCGCTCAAACAGGCGCTGATGTCGGCGCCCCTGCTGCAACTTCCGGACTTCACCAAGCGTTTCATCGTCGACTGCGACGCCTCGGGCTCCGGCTTCGGTGTGGTCTTGCACCAGGGGGACGGTGCGGTGGCCTTCTTCAGTCGGGCGGTGGCGCCGCATCACGCCAAGCTGTTGGCTTATGAGAGGGAGCTCATCGGCTTGGTCAAGGCCGTCCGCCACTGGCGCCCATACTTGTGAAAGCATAAGTCTTGTGCCCATCTATCTAGGATGCTTATCTTAGGAGTAGTTGGTGCATATGTCAGCACCTTATCTTCTTATCTTGCTTTGGCATCTACTTAGCATCTATAGAATATGTTGTATCCTTTCATAAGTTGCAAGTTTGCTACTCCTATATGTGTCCAATCCTGCTGTGGTTTATGGTGTGGCTAATGAAATAGAAAATCTGCCCCAAAACTGAGTCTTTACGTCTAACAACTTGTGGGGTCGCGTCTTCACGGTCCGCACGGACCACTGGAATCTCAAGTTCATCCTCGACCAGCGCCTCACGATTATTCCGTAGCACACGTGGGTGACCAAGCTGTTTGGCTATGATCTCACGGTCGAGTACCGGCCGGGGAAGTTGAACACCGTGGCGGACGCATTGTCCCGCCGCGACTCAGAGGCGTTGGCTGTGCGGGCGGTGTTAGGACCGTCCTTCGCCCTCTACTACGACCTCCGGGCAGAGCTCCTGCGCGACCCGTAGGCCTAGGAGATGTGGGCGTAGCTTGCAGCAGGCGCCGCTCCTGATGGCTGGGCCCTGATGGACGACCTGCTCCTGTTCTAGGGGCATATCTTCGTTCCTGACGCTTCGGTGCTCTGGCCGCAGCTGCTGTAGGAGGCCCATGGCAGCCATGAAGGGGTGCAAATGACCCGTCATAGACTTCGGGCATCCTTCTACAATGCCCATGCCTACTGGCTGGTTCGTGAGTTCATCCGTGGCTGTGCCATTTGTCAACAGAACAAGACTGAACACCTCCATCTAGCCGGGTTGCTGCAGCCACTGCCCATTCTGGACCACATGTGGAGCAACATCGCCATGGACTTTGTGGAAGGCTTTCCGCGTGTTGGCGGGAAATCCGTGGTCCTCACTGTTGTGGATCGCTTCTCCAAGATGGCGCACTTCATTGCCTTGAGTCATCCTTATTCAGCGAGTTCAGTTGCCCGGGCCTTCTTTGACAACATTGTGCGCCTCCATGGGTTCCCGTGCTCCACTGTGAGTGACCTGGACATGGTGTTCACCAGCAATTTTTGGGAGGAGCTCTTCAAGTTGGCTGGCGTTAAGTTGCTGCGCAGTTCGGCCTTCCACCCACAGACCGATGGGCAATCTGAGGTGACCAACCGCATCATCGTCATGTACTTGCGGTGCTTGGCAGGGGATCGGCCGCGTTCCTAGCTGCAGTGGTTGCCATGGGCAGAGTACAGTTACAACACTTCATACCAGTCTGCCCTTCACGCCACCCCCTTTGAAGTGGTCTATGGCAGGCCACCGCCAACTCCGGTGTTTTACCTTCCTGGCACCGCCAAGGCGGCTGCGGTGGATCGCCAGCTCCGCGCCTGCGATGTGTTCTTGGCTGATATTCATGACCGGTTGCGGCTAGCCTAGGACGTCATGGAAGAACTTCAAGATAAGAAGCGCCGCCTGGTCGAGTTCTTGGTGGGAGATTGGGTTTGCTTGCGTCTCCACCACCGCACGACTGTTGGCATCATAGCCGCCTCGACATCCAAGTAGGGACCTCGCTTCTTCGGCCCATACCAGGTTGCTAAGCATGTGGGTGCGGTGGCCTATCGCCTTCGCCTCCCTCCCAAGGGTTGCATACACGATGTGTTCCATGTCGCTCTTCTGAAGAAGTACGTGGGTGACCCGCCAACAGCCTTGTTGCCCCTTCCTTCGATCCTGCATGGTCGGGTGGTGCCCAAACCAGCTGCCATTGTCCGTGCTCGCCTCAACCATGGTCGCTGGCAGCTCCTTGTTCATTAGGAAGGTTGCATGACTGCTGATGGAACATGTAAAGTAATCTGCTGCTCTCCCAGTGTACCCACAACAGGGGTTGGCCCCGAAAGTCACCCCTGCTGTCACTGTAGCTACAGTAGGGCAGGTGCCGAAAGTCAGCCCTGCTCAGCGGTTGACCAGGGCACCGAAGATGAAGAGGACTGCTCGGCGCTGGAGGCAATCCTAGCCGCCATGCCTCCGGAGTACCGGGAGCCGTTGGGGTCGAAGGACTCCGCCAAGGAAGCTTGGGACGCCCTCAAGGCCATGCGGGTCGGGTCTGACCGCGCAAAGAAGGAAAAGGCGCAGCAGCTGCGGCGGGAGTACGACGACCTGGCCTTCCGTAGGGGGGAGGCGGTGGAGGACTTCGCCCTCAGGCTGCAGTCCCTCATCAGTCAGCTGGCGACGCACGGCGTCGTCATCAACGATGAGGAAGCAATCTCCAAGTATCTGCGCGTCGTACTGCCCAAATACACCTAGATCGCTCTCTTCATCGAGACGATGCTGGACCTGTCAACCCTCACGATTGAGGATCTGACAGGGCGTCTGCGGGTGGCGGACGACCGCACAGGGGAGGCTGCAACTTCGGTCGACGGCAAGCTGCTGATGACCGAGGAGTGGACTGCTTGGATGCAGGTGAAGCAGTCCGGGGAAGGCTCCTCTAGCCGCGGCGGCGACGGGAAGCGCTGCGGCAAGGCCCCGCAGAAGAAGG